GCAGTGTAGTGCATTGCAGGGCCTCATCAATGTAAATATATATATTTAAATAAATTAAATATATATATATACAAATAAAAGATTATTATTCACCTATTTTTATCTTTTATTCATCGTTTTTATTCCTTAATCATATGTATTGATACCGTCACACGTACTTTTTCTATATAACAAACTCATGAAATGTATTAATTTGAATTTGAGAATGATGGCATGGAGCGGTCGAAACGTCATTCTTTAATATCGCTGGTATTTATCCTTAATTGATTGTTAGTTAACAGCAGAATTTCGGGCGATTCTTCAGTCAGTTTCTTGTGTCAGTTTTTGCTGGTGTCCATTCTCAATCATGAATGTGGAGAGGACTGAATGCTATGCTTACATATAGCAACCCAACCATACGTTTCGCAAACCATTACAGAACTTAATCAAATCTTGTTATTGACAGGTGCCATTCAAAGAATACTATATGACGCCATTAGGGCTGGATGGATTTACAGCAAATATAATTAGTCCTTGTTCCACAGCTCCAGACCAGATTACATTTCATGAGAGTTCAGTAGGAGACCTGAACGACGAGCTTCCTTTGAAAGTACCTCTAGTTGCTGCAGATGAACTGCCTGACGACACTCCGCTGACCGTTGAAATAGCCGTTGCCAATGACGCAAGCATGGTCAAACGATTGACTGTGATATCGTTTATGGCGTGTCAGATGGAACCAAACTCGTTAGAATTGAAATTGAAACAAGGAATATTTCTACAATTGTTCTCCATGCTTTCGTATTGACTTGAAGTCTAGGGAGACCAAAACAAGCATAAAAGCATTTGCTCGGTCCCAGTACTTCATGCCTACGGAAAGCGCCTTTCCAGATCAGTTTGTGTTCACGTTGAAGTTGGATAAACCTTGGAGCTCGTGTTTTATCCCACAGTACGGCTTTACTAACACAGCAGAGAACCATCGTACCTCGATGCGACTGAAGTTCAGCAAAGGTCTTATTCTTCAAGTTTATAATGACAGAGCTTACGAGAAAGTTGGTATCAAGTACCTCAAGGTCACCATTATGAAAACAGAATAAAGGAGAAAACTACCACTTTTTCTTATCGATGTTACGAACGATCCAAATAAATGTTAGTCAAGACAAGAACATCCTGAGTTTTTCTTGTCGTTGTTGTAGAGTATTTTAATTTTATACCTCTCGCATAACCTTAACTTTAATTCAATTTTCTAGAATGTTAGATGAAGTAGCAGCCATCCAGCTAGCGTCGGTTAGCGGGTTGTTCGCAACCTCCAAACATTGGTATGAGAATCAGCCTCCGGGACAGATCACTCCCGTACTCCATGTGAATCAAAATTTTTCGTGGCCAGTATTTGATTTATTTTTAGTATTCTTTTCCGGCCTCGGCCGTGCCATTGATTGGGGGACTGATGACCTCGTAGAATTTATACACATTGCCCGTTACTTTACTAGTCCGCGTTTTACTAGTCCGCGCTTTACTAGTCCGCGTTTTACTAGTCCAGTCCAGTCCAGTCCGCGAAATACCATATGCCATTACTTGATGGTTCATGAGCACTTCTTGAGTCATGTCTTTCGGGGCCCCTTTCCGGATAATTTTTGCTCTTTGTTTGAAGAGAATCAGCTTTGCGAAGTAATATTTACTTTGAAAATAATAAATTAACTTTCTCTGGCCCGTAGCCTTTTAGTTCAAGCGTCGCGCGAGTACGAAGAAGTTTTTATTTTTGACGATCTATTGTCAGCAGCAAGCGTAGTCCACTTAACGACCGCTTGATTGGGTTAGGGCTGAATTAATAGTTATGAATTTAAAAAAAAAAATAGTTATTTTGTATTAGATAGTTGAGTCTTGCATGTAATCTTTCCCTCACCATACGCATCGAGGACGATGCTTAATTTAGGCGGGGAGGAATGTTGTAGAGTATTTTAAAGGATTGCTATTTTGAGTATTTTTAGGTTTACCTTTTGTTTTGTTAAGTCTCGCTTTTTGCCTCGACATGTTGTTTTTGTAGTTCTTTTGCCTTGACCTTATGTTTCTAGTATGTACTTAAACTATTCTTAGTCCACGGATTTTTCTTGTTACCTTGTTAGACCTAATAATCGCTTGTTGTGGTTGGAAATGGCTACTTTTGTAGGTGGTCGTGTTTGTGTGGTAAAGTTGACCTTGAGTTTTACCCACGCCAAGGATCCTGTTTGTGTATACGATTCTTGCGCGCAGCCTTGCTGTTAGCATTTGATTGGTTCTGTAATGTTGGCCGGATACTTTAGAGGGAGCTCCTCGATTTCGCCCTTGCAAAGTAAAAGAATATACAATGAAAGTTCTCACGGTCAACCAACCCAAACATGTCCACCATTTTCCCTACTTAATGCGTAGAGATTAATAGTTGCTAGTTGTGCTAGTTGCTAGTTGCTAGTTGCTAGTTGCAGTAACCCGTTGTGGTAGTTGTAGCAGTTGTAATAGTAGTTGCAGAAAGAGAAGAGAGAAGCTTTAAGAAAAGAAATCGTTAAAGGGCTAGACCAGAGTCTCAGTACCTCTCGTTAATTTGTTAAGCGAGTCGCCTAACACGCCCCCAACATCTTTAAAAACTTTGTTGTTATTAACATAAAATAAACTTGCCGCTTTCTCTCGGAAAAAAAAATTATGGGACGTTACTATTAATTTGTATATTACTTTATCTCTGTTCCTTTTACCGAAGTTCCCGAGTATTATCCAGGTAAATGAAGATACTGGGGTATTTTAAATCTCTGTATAAGAGACGCCTTCAGACTTTCTTAATTATATTGTACAAGAGCTTGTTTTTTAACCGCTATCCAGGCTATCTAAAGAATATGTTTATTTTCCGGTCTGTATCCTATAATCTACGCGGAAATTATATTTTGTCTCTACCGTCTACAAAAACTACTACTTATGGTCTTCACTCCTTTTCATATATGGCTTCAAAACTATGGAACTCTCTTCCGGACTCTTTTAGAATGTCTGACTTTTCTGATTTCAAGCGCAAGATTCTACAGTATGACTCTTTCTCATAGTTAAATTTTAGAATGTTACAATTTTACATTTTACATTTTAGTAGTATTTAGAATTATACTTGTAACTCGAAGATACTAGCTTATTCTTTAGCTACTCCAAATTCGAGATTAAATAAAGTATATGTATGTATGTATGTATGTATGTATGTATGTATGTCGGGTCTCCCCATTCCCCTACTTTCGTGTTATGATAATTTTCCTTTGCAACGTAGCATCTTTTGAATCGAATCATAGGTTGATATAGGGTGAATTTGCAGATCTCGTGCAATTTTTGATCACTCATGACGGGTAATTCACGATTTTGATCGTTAAAATGCTAAATTAACCAGTATGAGGATTTCTCCTAAGAATCTACATCAAATATTTGTGATATTTTGAAGATCAGTACTGACTACTTCACTTTCATGCGACCAAGTACATTTTCAAATCTTACAACTAATTTTACCTCAAGCTTTCTTTTCTCTTCAACGTTAATGAATTGTGCGCTGCCTAGGAATTCTTCCTCTTTTCAATCAGGCACGACTAATTTAAAACGAGGACAGCCTAACAACTACCTTTCCTGGGTTTTAAAAACAAACCCTTGTTAAAGAGAAAAAGATAGTAAATCATCTAATAAGCCCCCCCGGGTTTATTTATTTCAGGTACGTTGAGGGGGGGAGCTTATTAGAGGGAGGGGCTTAATGGAGGGGGAGGGGGCTTCTTGATATAGCCCGATCTTCATTACCAGGATACAATAGGATATGACTCACCGTACTTATTCAAAAATTGTTCTAATTTTACATTTTTTCATTTATCAAATTGGCAGAGTCAAAATCCTCAGCAAAGTCTGATGAGTTGTTTAAATTGTCATAATCATCTTATAAATCAGTAAAGCAGAAACACAACAAAACGGTAAACTAAAGTCAGATGAACAACAAATGAAATGCAAGGTTTCTCGAGGATGGGCTCGTGGTTCCGGGGCAGTATACTGCACTTGTGATTAACAAGACCTTAACGATTCTCCACAGAAAACTAGCTATAGAGCGAAAATTGAAAAAACTTTAGCACATGAAGCTGAAAGTCAAGCAGGCAACAATAAAGAACTCAATTTTATGATCTAACTCTCTCAATGGACCTAGTTTAGCCATGTTACATTTTTAGCATCGCTCTGTAATATCCGTATACCGTATTCTATTGATGCCAAGATGATAACATCAATCAATCAATTACCATAATTTTAACTCACAAACTAAAATTACAGTACTTGACCTGTGTGAAGGAATTTTTAGCTAAACTATTTTCATAGGAAAGTTGATTAAATATAAAAACTTTAACGAGTAAAAATCTAATACAGTGCTTGTTTATTCTAATGTTCAAGGAAAAATCTTCCTTTTGCGCAGTGGTGCTAATTCCAGAACAAGTAGTTGCGCAGTTTCTTTTTGGCTTAAAGGAATATTTTCATTTTTATGAAAGATCTCCCAGTATGTCTATAACACCTGATCATTAAATTTTTCATGGATTTGAACTTTTTGGTTTTCTAATTGCAATCATATTTGAAATTATATGGTTAATTTTTTTTCATACTTCCTAATTTTGTGTTCTCTAAATTACCGAGTAGATCGAAGTGTTTAATAAATATTTATTATTTGTTTCAAAAGAAATCAGAACGATTGAAAAAATGAAAGCGCCACGTTAGGGGAGGAATTGTTCGCTACAAGATTAACTTTTTCTGCACAACGAAGGTTAATCTTAGCATCTCTTTGGAGTAAACCAACCAACTTTGTAAGACGCTATCAAATGAGAAGTCATGGTAAGGAACGACATGCTTAGATTAGAGGTTAAAGGTGAAGGAGGGGGGGAGGGGTTGGGCGGTTTGCTCACGATGTCAACTGTCTCTGCTACACAACCGATGAGGCTTTTGTTTTCCATTTGAGTTAATGATCGCAGAGATTCTAAAAATCGAATCTAATTGGTGTAAATAAAACAATATTATGTAAACGATTTATAAATGAAAATGCAAATTCACGATCAAACTTGTTGATTTACACCCTTTGAACAGCTTGAACGATCTCATTCGAAAAGGGACCGGTGAATTGCGTCGGTTGTACTGCATTGTTCTTTATGTTACTTTCTAACTGTCATCATAAAATAAATTGAAAAAAAATTGTCAATTGGACTTGGTACTTCAAGGTGAAGAACGAATTAAAAAAGGTTTACATCGTTCCAAACGAATTCTTTATTCATTTATTCATAATTAAAATTCGCACTATTTTAAGTAAGACTTAGGCTTGCTCTTTTGAAGGGACTTATGCTTGTAGTTTATTGGTTAAACGAAGACTGGCGGCACAACTGATGAAACCAATTTTATCGAGCCATCAATAGCTCGCACTGTTAGCTAAATGCACTGTTAGCTGTTGGGCTGTGGTAATAAACTATGTTAAAAACTTAACACGACAGGTATTTCATTGGCAATGAAAGACACTACGTGACTACCGATTAAATTCACGTACATTCAGTGCTGTAAATGTTGTATATAAGCCATAAGACGTAAATTAGCTCAAGTTATTATTTACCATTTTTGTTAAGCAGTGAAATCGAAACAAAAGCGCATGCGTTGGTGAAAATGTTCTGCGTCGTTTTAAAAGCTTTCTAATGTGGTCGAGGGTTCAGTTTCATTATTTCTCAAAATTATTTCTCAAATTATTTCTCAATTAATTATTTATCAAAATCTGCTTAGCTTTTTTAAGGTTTTTCAATTTTTACTCACTCTAACCTCGACATACTTGATACCAGCTCTTTCCTTTTCGTCCGATTTATACACTTCAAAAGTAAGTCCTTGGCGTAGCATCAACTGCTCGGTGTATCTAACCGTTTTATTAAATCCCCCGACATGCCCACGAGCAATGATGCATGAACCCCATTTCTGATCCAACTTTAACGTGAGGAAAAACAATCCTGGGTACGAACTTGGCTGTGAAATGGCAGCGTTCTTAGCTAAAGCCTTTATGTCACTCAGAGAGCTGCCGGACTTCGCCTGTATTCCATAACAAGGACCATTGCTTTCGTAATCATAGTGATCTGGTATTTCAAACCCGATGAATTTGCCTCCATCCGACACACCGAGTCTGAGGTCACTGTCGGTTGTCTGCCCATAAGTTGCATTAACTGCTATAGTCATCTCAACCGTCAACGAAGCTCCTTCTGTCAACACACCATCGGCCACCAAAGCAACTTTGAAAAGGGCTGCATTCTTTAAAGAGCCTGCGTTGAATGTTATCTGGTCAGCAGTTGCGGAATGGGAGCTGTTGCTATCAATGAAAGAAGCATGGGCTTGAAGCCATGAAGGTGTCATGTTCAAATGCAGACTCTGAAATGCTACCTGTTTGCAACAATTTGGATTAACCAGAATTACTTATCAGAAGATTCTACTTTTAATACTTAGCATGAAATTCATGAAGACCACATTTAAAGGACCTAATCTGATCCAATCAAACCTCATTAGGATGGATGTCACTGTACGCATGCTCCTCGCTGGAAATGTAATCCCATGGGTGTGTGTTTCTACTGGCGTCGTTTAGTTCACAGAGTAAGTACTTAAACCGAAAGTTGATGCTTTTACATTGCGGATCACTGAAGCACTCCAGCATACAGTCACCCAGGCTGCTAGTACTAACGTTTGAAGTTACATGACCTCTGAGATACTTTCCTTTCACAGACCTCACAGGCTCAGTGCATTTAAGAGACTTGCTTACATCAACTAATACGATTAGAAACCACAGCACAGCAACCATTGCTTGCTTTACCAATGTACCTGAAAAAATGACAGACCAAAATAATTCTTTCATTAAACTAACTGCAATATTTGCCGTTCATCTTCAGTTTGAATAATTAACAACTATTTGCGGAAGTGGAGATGGCCCGTGGTAGATATTTACCAAACCGCCAAGCGGTGAGGTAAAAATCCACCGTTGGCCACCGACTGTTCGTTAGATAAATACCGAAAAAAGTGAGTTGAAGTAGCGAAAAAAGATGATTTTAACTCATTTCTACCTGCGACAATTACAATATCTTCGGGCGTAAATCACGCGCAAGTTGCTCGTACGTAAAAAGTAAAGGATATTCGGAGTTCTACTTGGCAATCGGAGCGCGCCTTCAGCACTCTGCGCTGTTTTAGCATATACTATCATTGACAACGCAATCCCGCATTTCGAGTTTATAAGTGTTTTCTGGAAATATATATACATCCTTATGGCCTTATCCTTCAATGAACTCAAACTTGCTTTATTTTAGCCATCACGAAATACGTCGATGATCAATATCTTATCAGTGGTGAATTTCCTGTGATGTTTAGACATGTAAATTTTTTTTTGTCAATACATTACATACTTGGGCACCGATCATTTTTTACCGCCTTAGGAAAGGGGCATTGAGGGGATTTTGTTTATATCAAATAATTACCGGATCCCTCTAGAAAGTCCTGTAAAATTCTTACCTTCCCCTCCCCCCTCATGTGCATTCAATTTTCTATGGCCCTCCCCTTCATAATCTGTTTGCGACGGCTGATGCCCCTCCGTACGCGTTTTCCCCATCTACACCTGTTACCCCTGGTGACAAAAAATGGGTAGTCGTTCGCAGGAAGATAAATTTTTCGAGCATCTATCATTTGGAAGACAAGCAATTCCAGACTGTTTAGCCTTGCTGATGAAAAACTTTCCATTTGCATGATTAGATCTCCCTTATCACACAATAAAAGAGAGAACAAAAATATTGGAATTTTTTTCACGGTTGGTAGTACTGTACTGCCCAAGCTGGTTTGCAATTCCGCATACATTACGGTTCGTAAAAGTATTTAACGACACTAAAAACTTACTCCAGAACGAAGTTCCTATGAAGTACATTATTTTATATGTGTTTTTCCTTTCCATCCAGATCCGTGAATTGAAAATTTAAGAGAGCTCTATTACCTTCAGTTACGTGGGAAAATGTCGTAGCTCTATACACTTGTAATGAACATTAACTTGTAATTCAGCCTTTCTCTCCTTTCCCGTTGTTAAATTGGATTCGGGATGTTAAATAAGTTCAGATTAATACGGTAACAAGTTTGATGCGACTTTTTTTTCGTTTTGCGTAGGAGTTCGTTCTCATGCAGATGTGAGGGCTCAAACTTATTTTAATGATGTGGTTTTAAACGTGTCACGAAGGAAGTTGTCACATCTTAAGACAGATTACAATCTGCATTTAAATGACAAATTCCGTTTAATTGCGTTTAAATGTCGTATCGTTTCACAATATTCTTGTTTTGCATTAAGAGTCGAATGGAGGCTGTCATAGCCATCGAAAAAAGTAATTAGGGACCATAATTTTTCTATCAGCGCAAAATAAGTGCGAACCCCGAACTTAAAATACTAGTGCCAAATTTTTGCAAATTGCCAAATTTTCACAAATCTTTAAGGAACCCGATGCTCTCCCTCGGAGGCCTCCAAATTTTGGCAAAACAGACATTCATGTTTTCAACCATTAAGCTGGCGTGATACGTAAGATATCTCTGGATAAAATTCTCCTCGGGGAAAAAAAATTAACTACTTTAGTCCGCTCGTCTAGTTTGGGGTGGGATCGCAGGATTTTCGTTGTCCATCCGACCCTTTTTTTTCCGAGGGAAACGAATTTGAGCACCGCTTTTCTTCACATATCTGTGACTCGTACCCGGGTACGGTCATATTGGCTGCAATTTAGAGAAAATATGGCTTGAACGAGAAGTTCCAAAATTACATTTGTTCTTTGGGCAGAGTGACCTTCAGGCAGGCAGGCAGGCATTCATTTTGCAATGCAAGCGTTCAGAAAACGTCGGCTTTTTACATAGGGGAAGTCACACAATTTAAACCTTTTTTGTCAATGTTTCAGGATATAGTTTCATTGAAAATCGATGCTAAACTTCTCCCAGGAGTTTCCTATGACGAGAGAGAACTCATCAGTTCTCAAGAAAGGTTGTCGAAGAAACTCCACGAAGCTCATGGAGGTACTGTATATGGATCAACAAACCTTGTTGTTCAAATCTGTTTCTATGCCGATCTAGTTCCAATTTCTGTCTCTCCCGCTTCAAAATAGTTATCGCACAACTCTGTCAAAAACGAAAAAGAGTAGAATCATTTAGGATACATTTACCAACGGGGATTTGCCTTATGGCGGAAGGATGTGATCTGAACTTTTTACCGTTGTACCCTTCACCAGAACCAGGTAACAAATTCTTCCGTTTGTTTACATGGAGGACAAGTATTGTGCTTTATTTAAACAATCGAATTCATTGCAGCTGTTTCCAGTTTTCCGGGGAGTTATTTTAGCATTTTAAGATAACAGCTTTTTTAATTAAAATGACTCGGCTTTAAGCGAGTCAAATGCTGCTCTTAGTGTTTATGTTGTTCTCTCGATAATTTGACCGTTCTTCGTCTTTTTCACTGGACAGAGACATCATGAATACATCAAACTTATCAGGCAGTTCACATCACGCTGATATTACATCATCGTCCCCAACTACTAACTATGATTACATGCAACCGTACTCAATTTTTTGCGGGCATGAAGGCCATTCATTTGCAGTAAATTAATTATTCTCTCATCTACCTGTGCTTAAGTGCTCGTTTCATATCACAAAATGACAACGTACTTAAAGAGAAGACAAAACATCACTTATGTTGAATGACGGAACATTTTCTCTGAAAAAGTTACGTTTGACAACTTGAAAATTTCTCAAAGTTCGCTCGTAAGGCCTTCCTAATTTTTTATCCAGCGTGGAAATCAATTTTGCAACAGCAACTGAGAGGGTTAAAGAAAACCCCCTTTCCCCGCCAGCCACCTCAGACGACATTTTTTAACTTGAAAGAACTAATGAAAGATTGAAACATAGTTAATAGAGGGAGACTAACTATGACTGAAATGAGAAAATGGGAAAAATAAAAATAAGAGGCTACATTTATTAAAACCACGAAATTGAGGAACGGGAAATTTCATACAGTTCTTTTTACAAATTAATGATTTTTGATAATTTTGACAGACGTTGTAACGGCTCTGAACTTAATCCCCATTTGTAATCGAGCTGGGAGACTAATCAATTTAGACATGAAATCCTGAGGAAAAAATGAGCAGATTGAAATCTCTGAACTGTGAACCGACTACTTTGCAAAATGTGATCTCACAGCAAATCCAGTCCTTTCCATAGTTCAAAAATTACCTGGAGAGCTCAGTTCGTTAAGAATAATGCATTAAGAATGCTCTCTGTCTATTCTTAATCATGAACGTAGAGAGGCCTGAATGCTATGTCTGCATATAGCAACCCAACCATACGTTTCGCAAACCCGTTAAGACATGTGTTACCACCACAGAAACTAATCAAATCTTGTTATTAACAGATGCCATTCAAAGAATACCATATAACGCCATTATGGCTCGATGGATTTGCTGCAAACATCAGTAGTTCTTGCTCCACAACCTCCAACCAGATTATATTTCATGAAGGTTCAGTAGGAGACCTGAACGACGAGCCTCTTTTGAAAGTACCCCTGGTTGCTGCAGGTGAACCGTTTGACGACACTCGACCGTTGAAATAACCGTTGCCAATGACGTCAACATTGGTCAAACGATTGACATTGACATCGTTTATGGCGTGTCAGATGGAACCAATCTCATTAGAATGGAAAGTTATGACACGGAATATTACTAAAATCGTTCTCCCCGCTTCGGTATTGACTTAAAGTCTGGGGAGACCAAAACAGGTATAAAAACATTTGCTCAGTCCCAGTACCTCATTCCTACGGAAAGCGCCATCCCAGATCACTTTGTGTCACGCTGAAGTTGGATAAACCTTGGAGCTCGTGTTTTATCCCACAGTACGGCTTCACTAACACAGTGGAGAACCATCGTAGCTCGATGCGAATGAAGCCCAGCAAAGGTCTTATTCTTGAAGTTTACAAAGACAGGGCTTATGTGAAAGTTGGTATCCAGTACATCAAGGTCACCATTATAAAAACAGATTAAAGGAGACAACTACTGCTTTCTCTTATCGATGTTACGAACGATGCAAATAAATGTTTGTCAAGACAAGAACATTATGAGTTTTTCTTGTCTTTAAAAACTTTGTTTTTATTAACATGAAATAAACTTGCCGCTTTCTTTTGGAAAAAAAAATGATGAGACGTTACTCCTAATTTGTATATTACTTTAACTCTGTTTCTTTTACCGAAGTTCCCGAGTATTATCCAAGTAAATGAAGATACTCAGTGGGGTATTTTAACAGTGTCGGGTCGCCCCTTTCCCCTGCTTTTATGTTATAATAATTTTCCTTTGCAACGTAGCATCTTTTGAGTCGAATCCTAGGTTGGTATGGAGTGAATTTGCGGACTCCGTGCGATTTTTGATCACTCATGGCGGGTAATTCGCGACTTTGATCATTAAATGTTGAATAACCTGTATGAGGATATCTCCTGAGAATCTATATGAAACATTTGTAATAATTTGAAAATTAGTACTGACTACTTAACTTTCATGCGACCAAGAACATTTTCAAATCTTACAACTTATTTTACTTCACGCTTTTATTTCTCCTTAACGTTAACGAATTGTGCGCCGCACGGAAATTCTTCCCCATTTTCAATCAGGCACGACTAATTTGAAACGGACAGCCTAACAACGCTGTTTCCTGGGTTTTAAAAACAAACCCTTGTTAAAGAGAAAAAGAAAGTCTAAATACCGTAAATCCTCTAGTAAGCCCCCCCCCCGGGTTATTAATCTCAGGTACGTTGGGGGGGAGCTTATTAGAGGGAGGGGCTTAATAAAGGGGGAGGGGGCTTCTTAATATAGCCCGATGTTCAGTACCAGGATACAATAGGATATGATGTATCATATTTAGTCAAAAATTGTTTTCATTTTACATTTTTTCATTTACCAAATTGGCAGAGTCAAAATCCGCAGTGAAGTCTGATGAGTTGTTTGAATTGTTGTAATCATCTTGTAAATCAGTAAAGCAGAAACACAACAAAACGCCAAACTAAAGTCAGACGAACAGCAGGGAGGTCGTGGGTTCGAACCCCGGCCGGACCAATAATCATGGTCTTAAAATAACTGAGGAAAAACTTTAAAACTTTAAAACTTAAAATTACTTAGAGAAAAAGCTTTAGCTACAATGGCACCACATTGTGGAACAGTCTACCATGCTGTGTAAGGAACACAGAGTCTCTGGGGGTATTTAAACGTAAGATTAATGACATTCTTTAAGTCTAACGCACGGCATTCACGGAAAACAGCTTGTAGTGTTATAGTATGCAGTTTGAATTTAAATATCTTAGCGTATGTTATATGTATTTTTAATGAGCTGATGAATTGATCGAGTTTAAATAAATGAAATAAATAAAGGAGAATTTGCTACCTTTCTATAATATCAAGAAATGGATAGATATTCTAGTCTACTCGGATAAGGACGAATAAACCGTAGGCCCCGTCTCCTGCAGGGTTAGGGGTAGGAGATGTTAATTTCCCACACACGAGAGTACTGTGTCGTGGATGTCCTCCCCTGGGATGAGATGGGTGGGTGTCGCACGGCCCCATTAAACCAGCCATTAGCTGAACTGGGCTACCCTGTCTAAATATTCGTAATAAGTAAATAAATAAATAAACAAATGAAATGCAAGACTTCTTGAGGATGGACTCGTGGTTCCAGGGCGGTATACTACAGCTGTGAACAACAAGAAGACCTTAACAATTCTTCACAGGGAGATAGAGCGAAAAGTGGAAAAACTTAAGCACATAAAGCTGGAAGTCAAGCAGGCGACAATAAAGGGCTCAATTTTATGATCGAACTCTATCTCAATAGACCTTGTTTAGCCAATGTTATATTTTTAGCATCGCTCTGCGCATGCAATTTCCGTATACCGTATTCTATTGATGCCAACATAATAATAATAATAATAATAATAGTTTAATATTCGTAGTGCGCAAATTCCATTTACATATGATCAAATGCGCAAATCAATCAATCACCATAATCAATTTTAAATGAAAAACTAAAATTACAGTACTTGAATAAATTTATCGTACCTCCTGACATGGAGTGTTATTTTGAATTTTTGTTTTTGAGGGAGAGGGGTGGGGGCTTAGTAGAGGGGGAGTTAATAAATTTCTTCCCTTAAAGAAGAGGGCTTATCAGAGGGGGGGCTTTAAAAAGGATTTACGGAGATAAATTATTTCAGTATGAACTGTGGCGTTAGGAGCGGTCGAACATTTAATACAACTTATTGGAAATTCCAAACAAGCTGGAGGTAACATTGATTGCATGGGACAACAATGATTACTTGCCGAATAAAGGAAATTGCAGTCAAATTACTGAGCTGAAGCATCCTATGAATCTTTGCTTTCTTACACTAAGGTGAACAAAACGTTCAATTTAAAGCAGTATATTACCAGACTCAAACTTTCCCTGATCAGACTGAGTTATTCGCTTTTTACCGCGCTTTTGGAAGTGTGCTTGTGGCCTCTTTGAGCTCCCATGGGCTCCCTGGGGTATTTTCCTCAGGCTTGAGTGGCTTTTGTGTTTACCTTTGCATCCAATTTTTTTTTCTTTTGATACTCAATGACAAGGTTTCCATCCTCTTTTTTAAGTTTCTTGGTGTAAAGCATTATTTAGTGCATTATTCTTAGCGAATTCAGCTCTCCAAGGGAGGGAAAGCAAAGGATCTAGGTAATGTTTGAACTATGGAAAGGACTGGATTTGCTATGAGATCAAAATTTTGCAAACTTGTTCAGAAATTTCAATCTGCTCAGTTTTTCCTCAAGGATTACATGTCTAAATTTATTAATTTGAATATATAAACTAAGTTGAAATGGTAAATTGGCCACCGTTACGATTATAAAAGGTGACGTTTCGAGCGTTAGCCCTTCGTCGGAGCGAATAGAGGAATTGTGGGTTGTGTGTGCTTTTTAAAGGTAGAAAAAGGAGCTCCGTGATGGGTGGGAACATGGCAACGAGAAAAACACGAAGTTTCTTTCCTTACACTTAGGTAGCACGGAAAGCCGTAAAACTCTTGAACAAAAGCTCATCTTTCAAACCGGCAGTCTAAATCCCACAGGTATCAAGGAACGCTTTTCATTCCACTAATTTATTCGTGGTTTTCTCGTCCCCATGTTCCCACCATGCAATAATGTAGCTCCATTTTCTGCCTTTAAAAGCAAACACAACCCACAATTCCTCTATTCGCTCCGACGAAGGGCTAACGCTCGAAACGTCAGCTTTTGTAATCGTTACAGTGGCCAATTTACATAACCACCAGAAAAAAGATTTCTCTACTTACAGTGTGCACTGTGAAAACGATTTGGTGAGGTATCAATCATGTCCCGGACATGGGTTTAAACAGAGAGGGATTTCAATTTAAACAAACTTTTAAATTTAGCGGGCCGTACAGTCAAATACGGCCCGCTAAATTGACCAATCATAGCACACGTACAAACTGAGTGATATCTTAAGGATTTAGCATCCCGTTTACGTGAACCGCAAGTGACCACGTGACTTCGTTTTCCCCGCCATTTCTTCACGTTTGCTGATAGCACTTTGCTGTTTCTACCTGAAAGTAACCTGTTTTGCGTTTTCCGTGTACGTAAGCTTTTCCTCGCTTTTTATCTCACAGAGTAGAAGTTAATTTCCGGAAAAAGGGCACCAAAACTATTCCTTGTAAGTCAAGCCCCCTTCAAATCTACCATGACGTAACCTCATGCGAAGCTAAAGCACGCTATTTTGTAAACGCTATTTTGTGAAACGTGGAAGGGCAAGCTGACGCTAGCCGTTTCACTTAAGCGCGGTGCTAAATTTCTCTATTATTAAGGATGTTCAGAGAGGGAGAGGGCAATTGTTTAACCTCTAAACTCAAACGCTTTTCCTAATCAGGAGGGGAACATACCAAAACTCATCAACTTCCTGAGAAAACAACAACTTGATGAACTTTCGACTCGCATTTGATCATGTCGTGCACCTTGAAACCGCGTCAAGAGAATGATACTTCGTGCTACTGTTAAGTGGAGAGGCAAAAAAAAAAAGTTAGTTCATCCTCGACACCGAACATTCCTATGGCAACGGTTTCGGGAAGCAAAGCTCACTGTTTCCCACGTGGCCCGTCATTAAGTGCTTTTTAATCACTGGTATAATTTTAAAAAAAAAAACTGGATAAATTTGGAAAACTGAAGTTAGGCCACGAAACTGATGAAAGACTTGATTAATTTGATCGATACGTTTTATTATTTTTAATTGTAGGAGGGCCATTATGAAAACTACTGGGTGACCAGTAATCAATGTGTTTTACCCTCGTTAAATAAAGTTTTCTTCTTCTTCTTCCTCTTCTTCAAAGACCCACCGTTACATAATGGTCACGCACTGCAACCTCAAGTGTTGCGTGACAATAGCACACACAACCCACAATTCCTCTATTCGCTCCGACGAAGGGGTAACGTTCGAAACGTCAGCTTTTATAATTGTAACGGTGGCCGATTTACTATTTCAACTTTGTTGATATATTCAAATTATTTCGTTACCCCCACCAACGCAGCCCCAAACAGTTTCTCTAGAAACTATCAGCCTTTATTCTAAATTTATTAGTCTTCCTCTGTCAAAATTATCAAAAATCATTTATTTGTAAAAAAAAAAAAAAAAAACAGTATGAAGCCTCCCGTTCCTTACTTTTATGGTATAAATAAATGTACCCTCTTATTTTCATGGCTGGCGGGGAAAGGGGGTTTTAACCATCTCAGTTTCTGATGCAAAAGTGATTTCTACGCTGGATAAAAAAACTAGGAAGGCCTTACGAGCGAACTTTGAGAATTTTTCAAGTCGTCAACTGTGAATTTTTCAGAGAAAATGCTCCGTCATTCTGCATAAGTGATGTTTTGTCTTCTCTTTATATTGTGATATGAAAAGAGCACCTTGGCACATGAATATTAAAGCATAATTAATTTACTGCAAATGGCCTTCATGCCAACAAAAAAATTGAGGTACGGTTGTATGTAATATCAGCGTGATGTGAACTGCCTGATAAGTTTGATGTATTGTCTCGGTCCAGTATGAAAAAGACGAAGAACGGTCAAATTATTGAGAGAACAACATAAACATTGAAGAGCAGGATTTCACTCGCTTAAAGCCGAGTCAGTTTGAAAAAGTTGTCATCTCAAAATTCTAAAATAACTTCCCGGAAAGCTGGAAACAGCTGCTATGAGTTCGATTGTTTAAATAAAGCACAATACTTGTCCTCCATGTAAACAAGCGGAAAAATTTGTTACCTGGTTCTGGTGAAGCGTACAACGGTAAAAGTTCAGATTAAATCTTTCCTCCATACGGCGAATCCTCGAAGGTAAATGTATCCTCAATGATTCTTATCGTTTTCGTTTTTCGAAGCGGGAGAGACAGAAATTGGAAACTAGATCGGCAGAGAAACAGATTTGAACAACAATGTATGTGGATCCATATACAGTACCTCCATGAGCTTTGTGGAGTTTCTTTAACAACCTTTCTTGAGAACAATAAGTCTTTGCTCATTATAGAAAATTCCTAGGGGAAGTTTAACGTCGATTTTCGATGAAATTACATCCTAAAACATTAACAAAAAAAGTTCGAGTTGTGACACTTCCCGTCGGTAAAAAGCCGACGTTTTCTAAACACTTGCATTGCAAAACCAGGGCCTGCTGGCTAAACGAATTGAAGGTCACTCTGCACTAGAGAACGAATGTAATTCGGGACTTTAATTTTTTTTTCTGCCCTCTAATCATTTTCTTTTCTGTCGATCAAACACGGAAGTTATTGCTTTGGACTGTGGATCTCCATTCCGCATAAGGAACTGGTCCGACCAGAGCGAATTCAAATATTTCCGAATTTTTGGCAAAACAAAAATTGGCAAACTTTTCGCATTTTCCAATTTTTGGCGGCAATTGCATCAAACTAATAAAATTTTTTTCATGCTTAACCTGCGTATATCTAGTTATGGATGCACGCGGGAAGTTTGGAGAGCACGAAAAATGCGTGAGAGTGGCTAGAGGCGCAGCCGAGAGCTACTATAGCTTTTTGAGGGCTCTCCAAACTTCCCGCTTGCATCCACAACTCAATTTTCACACAGCTAAAAGCATGAAAAAACTCTTTTATTACAGAGCGACAACAAGGATCTGCGGGAAGAAGCTTTTTTATTATGATAGTGCAAAATTCTCACAACACACGAAAAAGTAAACAAACGTCCCTGTTGGCTGGCCAAAAACACGCAACATTTTATGGTTTGTTTTTAGCGACAACATTTGATCCAGTTAACCGATAACTTTAAATGAAAATCTCACAATCAACGGGGAAAATGGAGTAAATTAATCTAAATGAAGTCGTGTCACTAAAAAGTACTTGAATGTCTTTCGACCAAAATTTGCTGCAGCTGGTCTTCCGACAAATTTCGAAACGTGCAACTTGCGATTTTTTTTCGGCTTTGTTTTTACAGCTTGTTGGATCAAGACCTAAAATTTCAACGCCGATAGAAAAATTTAGTAGTTCTTCGCTGGTTTCTTCCATATTTTAAAGAGAAGGAACATGAAAAAAAGCTAACGTCATCTTATTTACGAACGGGCGTGCATAAAAAAATATTTTGTCCATACCGACTCAACACTAAGGATATATAGAACAAGCAGGCGCGCTATATTATAAAAACCCTTTGACCATAATATCCAGTCCCTGATTTTATTCATCTGTCGATCAAAGCCCATTTCACCATAAAAAAAATTTTAAAAAAAGGGTCGGATGGACGAGGAAAATCCTGCGATCGCACGCCAAACTAGACGAGCGGACTAAAATAGTTTTTTCCCCGAGCAGAATTTTATCCAGACATAGCTTACGTATCATGACAGTTTAATGGTTAAAAACATGAATGTCTATTTGCCAAAATTTGAAGGCCTCCGAGGCAGGGCAAAAATTTGACACTAGTCAGTTTCAAGTTGGGGGGCGCACTTAATTTTAAGTGAGATTTCCTCATGTAAAAGGAAAGTTTTTCGTCAGCAAGGGTAAGCAGTCTGGAGTTGCTTCTCTTCTTAATGACAGATGTTCGAAAAAGTTTTATCTTCCTGCGAGGGACAACCCATTTTTTGTCACCAACGGAAGGGCATCAGCCGTCACAAACAGATTATGAAGGGGAGGGCCATAGAGAATTGAATACAAATGAGGGGGGAGGGGAGGATAAGAACGTTGCAGAACCTTCTAGAGGGATCAGGTAATTATTTGATATAACAAA